ATGCTAAATGTTAACATACATAACGTGCTTACCTTCTATTTACGTACATGGATTTTGGGACCACCTGCTCTCAAAACGAGCTCTCAGTGGCTCAGGGAACAAGCCCCCAAGGCCTAAACCCCAAATCTCAGATCCATAGACCCCAAGCCTTGAACCCTAAAGCCTAATAAACCCTATATCCCCAAACCCTGAGAATCCTAAACAAAACCCACTAAATCTCGAAACCCTGTAAACCCTGACCCTCAATCCCCAAACCCGAAAACCGAAAACCCTAAGTTCCCCAAATCCCCAAACCCACCTCCGAAACCCGACATCCTAGTACCCTGCCTTACTGAGATCGCTGGACACGCCGTTGACTGCCTCTCTGACTGTTGGCTTCGGGTTTAGGATTAGGGTTAAAGTTCATGAGGGTTTAGGCTTTAGGGTTTAAGGGCTTATAGGGTTTAGGGTTTGGGGTTTCAGAGCTTTTAGGGGTTGGGGCATCTAGGGTTTCGGGTTTAAACCCTAAACATCCCTAAACCCTAAACCCTAAACCCAATAAACCCTCTTTAGACAAAGGAGCTGCGGCCCGTCGCCCGGCAACCGTCGGGACCAAATGAACCCCAAAATTGTGGTCATATACCCTGACTAGACCCTAAACCCTAAACCCCCGTAGGGTTCATGTGGTCCCCCCAAGCTGATTGCAAAATGCACCCCACGAATTCTTCTTACGACGCCTGGAAGACTTTTCTGTAGTCGAGGATTCCGCCGGACCCCCCGAAACAGTGCCATGGTTCGAGTAGCCGGGCAAACCTACACCTTGGTTCATATACCTTAGTAGGAATTATCGTAGCATAGGGTACATGACCCCCAATTTAACGTTTAGACTGACAGTGTACCACATTAGGCCAAACATACGTTGAAGTCCCCCTAAACCCTAAACCCTAAACCCTGAAGCCGCCCAGGCGGGCCTCGATTCGGTCGAAGGGGCGCAGCGCATGCTCAGGATGTTTGGCCTCCGGTCGCAAGGCAAACGGTTTAGGGTTTAGGGTTTAGGGGTTAGGGTTTAGGGTTTAGGGTTTAGGGGTTAGGGTTTAGGGTTTAGGGTTACGACCCGCTTTCCCTACAGTATTTAACAGGGGTTTAAGGGGCTACACCTACTCAATGGGGCGGGGGGGGGGGGGTTGCTTACTACTCTAAACTGCAGGTAAATTGGGGTCCCAGGAAAAGCCTACGAGAACCTAACTTTGCACACATTAACCAGAGCTCTAGTGCCGCTGCCTGTTAGGTGATGTTGGGAGATCCGGAAGGTGCTGGGATAGCTCATGCACTATGAGCCACAAACACAAACACCTACGTAACACTTCCTGACACATCTGAAAAAGCAGCCTGAAGCAGTCTACCTTCACCACCCAAACCCCCTAAAGCCCTACAACCCCAAGGCGGGGGTCTACACTTTGCTTGTCGGTGTTTTTATGGTCATAGGGTTTGTAGGGGTCCCCCCCGACAAAAAACCTCTCCGCCTTAATTGTTTCTCTCTCTCTCTCTCTCTCTCTCCTCACAGGATTTTGCGGGGGGCTTCGCTGTTTGCTTGGGGGTAGGGCGGGGGGCGGGTGGGGAGGGCCTCAGGCTTTAGGGCTTTAGGTTGTATAGGGCTTCAGGGCTTTAAGCTTTCAGGGATGAGGGCTTCGTTTTGGGCGCATGTGAGTTTCACCCTAAACCGTGAACCGTGAACCCTCAACCCTAAACCCCAAATCTGGCGAAGCGACGTTGAAGTCTTTGACGAGCCCATCGGAGACACTGACAATGGTCCAGCCTGGCAGGGTTTGGGCTTTGGGGGGTTGGGGGGGTTTGGGGGGGTTTGGGGTTTGGCCTTTGAGGGCTTAAAGGGGCTTAAGTGGGTCGAAGAAGGTTAAGGTAAAACGTATAGGGCAAGTGAGTTTGGGGCTTGCGTGTCTCTTAAGGTCTAGAGGGTGTAGGCGCTTGTAGGGCTTGCGCGGTTTAGGGTTTAGGGGCCTGAACCCTAAACCCTAAACCCTAAACCCTAAACCCTAAACATTTCCAGTGGCATCATCAACCCTGGGCCCCTCAGAACGGGCTCTCTCTTTGCGTGAACCATAGCTCAGGGCTTAGGGTAAAAACCTAGGCTTCGGCTTGAGGCTTTAGGCTTTAGGCTTGAGGCTTGAGGCTTGAGGCTTGAGGCTTGAGGCTTGAGGGCTTAGGGTTTAGGCTTTAGGCTTTAGGCTGTAGGCTTTAGGTTTTAGGCTTTAGGCTTTAGGCTTTAGGCTTTAGTCTTTAGTCTTTAGGCTTCAGGGTTTAGGGTGTAGGGACTAGGTTTGAGGGTTGGGATGTTCCCCCTTATAAGAAACAGTCCTTAATCGGGACTATAGTAACCCACGCTTAGAATCCCGAACAAGGACTGTTAGTATACAGGGGGAACATCCCAAGGTAAAACCCTGGACCCTAAACCGAATAAGGACTGTTAGTATACAGGGGAACATCCCAAGGTAAAACCCTAGACCCTAAACCCTAAAACCCTAAATCCTGAAGCCCTAAACCCTGAAACCCGAGCCCCTAGACCCTCAACCCCTCAAGCAGGGCTCGAATGAATCCGCCCACGCACAAAAAACACCAACCTTCTGGGACTTGGAGTGTAGGGCTTTCAGGGTTCGAGCTTTAGGGTTTAGCGGCCCTATGTTGGGTTCGTTGTGGAAAACCGGAGACCCTACATGCCTCTTATCCAAGTGGTGGGGGGAACCGCATGCGACCACGTCCGAATACGCATCGGAGTTGACGCCCACCGCAAGAATCGCGGAATATGTGCTGACCCAAAGGGTCCTAAGTACCTACGTAGTACAAAAGCAGGGCTTCTATAATAGGAAGTACTGTTATGCTTTGGGTAAGTGTCCCCCATATAGGTACTTAGGACCCTTTGGGCAAGTCCCTGAACCCGAAACCCTGGTCCCGTAAGGATGACCCCCTCCCGAGCCCTCAAACATAGGGACGGCGCCCCGCTGCAGGCTGTCCGGGGAGACTTGGACGACAGCCGTGCTTCACGCGGTTTAGGGTTTAGGGTTTAGGGTACCAGAACTGAGGACCTGTGATCAGAAATTTCGAACTTTTGGCTCGTCCGCGAGCAACACCGTCTTGAAGACAGGGTAGAGGAAGAAATGCAAGAAGCTTGAAGCGCGGCACGAATGGGATACGTTGTAGGGCTTAGGATCTACAATCATTGATCAGGCGCCACATCAACTTTCAACGCGGTCATGGCGTCCAACGTGCTGCAAAATTGGGTGTTCAGGGTCTATTGGGGCTTTGGGGCTTAGGTTCGTTTCAGGCTCAGGGTTTAGGGTTGAATTAAATCGGGTAGGTAGGAGTTTACAATGGTGCCTAAGGTGTAATTGGCGGCTTTACGTACTTGCAGGTACTGCAAAATCCAGGCCCAGGCCCTCAACTCAAGTTGTGGTTTAGGGCTTAGGGGTGAATACCCTAGCCCAACAAAAGGTTAACCGTTTATATACAGTGGGATTCTATTTCACCAGCAAGGTTAAAAGGTTAACTACCCAGCCCCTAAGAAAGAAGTTCCAACAAACCTATGAATCATTGCAATGCGCAATCGCTTCGAACACAGCCTTTAAGGTCCGGAACCCCCTAAGCCCTCAAAAGGGTGTAGGGTTTGGGGTTGAGAGACTAGGGTTCGTATGACCTTGAGGGAATTATAGGTTTATAGGGTATGCGACCTAATTTAGGCTTCGTCCTCAGGGAATTGCAACCTCTGCACCCCCCTCCGCCCCCCCCCCCGCCAACAGAACAGAAAGTGCATGCATAAGTAGCATGTCTTTCTGTATATCGAAGCAAGAAATCAAGAGGTGTAAATGAACGGGACAGAAGGCCACAAGATACAACCTAAACTCGCCACCTGAACCAGAAACCCGGATCTGAACCCTAAACTACTTTCTGCCGAAGAACCCCCCAAAAACAAAATTTTTAAAATCCCTCCATTACTCTTATAAGGATAAATTTGGGTGGGAGGGGTTCTTAAACAAATATATGGTACACCCGGAAGGCCTAAACCCTAAACCCCTAAACCCCTAAACCCGTAAACCCCTAAACCCCTAAACCCGTAAACCCGTAAACCCCTAAACCCCTAAACCCCTAAACCCTAAACCCTAAACCTTAAACCCTAAACTCAAAGCCCCAAACCCTAAATCCTTGTGCCCTGAACCCGAGCGCCCCAGGCACCAGCCGTCCAGCCTTTGACGTCGATCCCGTCCAACTCAAGCCCTGGTCATTCTACCCTACAAGTGGGGTTTAGGGTTTACCTGGACCCCAAAACACATACCGAAAACTAGGCGGGTATGCTTTTCTAAGCGGAGACCAAAAACCAGAAAACACCCAAAAACCTCACAAACCTGAATTACAGGGATTTGGCTATTTACATTCGGGTTTGGGAAGTTACCTGTTGTTGAGGGGTATACGGGGAATGCAAGGACTTTATTTGGGGGCATAAAGGGCCTGAGGTGGAAGGGCCAGGCATTGGGCGGGGCTGCTCTTTCTCGACTTCGTTCACGCTGCTGCGCCGGGGGGTCCGAGGCTCAGCTTGTCCACTGAACCATTGCCCCTGCGAGCCATCTCTGCAAGACTTTTGTCTCGCATGTCATGGCTGACACCCTGCGCGACAGCAACGCAGTGCGTCCTATAAAGTCTTCTGCTGCCGAGCAAGAAACTGAAAGTGGATTCAGGCCTGCCACTCTTTTGAGTCTGGCAGCTTCCAACTCCAAAATCACATGGTGGAGGAAGTGAATCTTTGGCCTATACGTAAAGAGCGGCCTGCTTGCCGCCAAGGCAAGCTCAGCTAGCTTGCTGTAGGTCTTGAGAAACAGCATGCCCGAGGAAACGATAGGCTTGGCATCATCTGGCTCCTGACATGAGAAAGGTACACCGCGAAGCAACGTAGGTTACTGCATGTTTCTGCCCGAAAAATTGCAAAACAACAGCTTGGTTGGGCCCTTACTAACTGTTTATGTGCGAGGCTTTCCGAGCAGCCAAGAGTCGATCCACAAGTCAGCTTTGTAAAGGCGCTGCATGAAGTCACTGATTGATTCCGCTGCTTGTCGTATGTAGAAGAGGGTCTTGTCCGCATCTCGGGCACATAGCTCGGGGTGCAACTCGCACATATACAGCAGAAACTGCACGATTCGAGGTGTGTCAGCAGCTTTGGACCAAGTGCCGCTAGGATAGACTTTGGTAGCATCCGGGTAGGTCAGCTTATCTCGGGTGAATGCAACCAAATGCATCGGCACTCGATGCATCTTCCTCCAAAGTGTAAAAACCTCGTTCAACATGTCCAACTGCTTGTCGACACTGTTGCCATCCCTGCCTTTGAAGAAGAACGGCAGCATATAGATAAGGGCAGAAGCACAATAGTCCTGGCCAACTCCATGAAGGTATATGTGGAACAGGTCTGCAAAGTAGAACTTGCCGGGGTTGTTCAAATAGCCAAGGGACGCCGGAAGCATTCCACCCTCTTTGCCCTCATCCCAAGGTGGCTCCTGGAACAGGGGCATCTGTCGCAGCCACGCTGGGGACTTGGAGTGGACCTCCTCGAACGGGACGTTTGGGTGACCGGCTGGACATAACCAACAACACATCCCATTGCTCTTTGTGGTTTTTGCCGGGTTGTAGGGTCGCTTTCTGGCAGTTGTAAACCATCTTGTCAAGCAACCGGCACGGGCTTGCATCTTTAGGTCCCCCTTCAAACCAAGCAGCACCAAACGAAGCACTCTTCCATTGTAAGCTATGCCTTCATCAAAGCACTCCCTCAGATCCTCCGCAAAAACGTTCAGCAGACTCTGGAAAGCATCTTCGTTGTTTTTGTGCCAGGCGGAAGGCATGGCCGCGTAGAGGTAGTGTGTCGTGTAGCTATGACCCAGCAGGGCAAGATGGAACTTGTTGGCCTTCTTGCGGAAGCTACGTACACTTGGGTCCTTAGAGCATCGCTTGCCACATCCAGTGCCCAGCATTGGTCCCCAATTAAAAATCATAAACTCGCTTTTCTTGTAGCCTCTTCCTCCATCTATGTGTGCGAGTATCGGGACGCAGTCTTCCAATGGTATTTCCTCGTGTTGAGGGGCAAACAACTCGAAGTCGGGGTGGACGTTCCTGTAGTTTTCCCAGAAATTCAATAGCAGGAGACGGCTGGAAGCAAGAGTCTTGCCTCCGAGGAGCTTGTTCAAGTGACCAGCTTCTTGCATATGTTTGAAAACATCAAGCGGCCTCAATCTAGGGAAGCCTTCAATGCACGGCTTGCCCACCACTTTCTGGATTGGAATAGGCAAGGAGAGGTTGTGCTTGCTAAGCAGCGAATGCAGCTTCTCCTCCGCGTTGTGTGACCGAAGTTTCGAAACCTCATGAAGAAACTCATCCTCCGAGGCTGCGAAGCCATCTGCTCGAAGTGCTTGGGCGAGGCCCACCATCTTGGAGCAGGGCACCTGAGTGGAAGGAAATTGCTTGGGGCCAGGAGTATGTTGTTCGAGACAGGCGCGGGGTTGGGTTTTGGGAGTGTATAGGGTTTGGGTTTCGGGGTTTTAGGATTTATAGGGTTTATAGAGAGTGTATGGGGTTTCTTCAAAACCCCCTGGCTCCCCTTTCAAAACCTCTACGGGTTAGCGGGGGGGTGGGCCCTAAACCCTAAACCCTAAACCCTAAACCCTAAACCCTAAACCCTAAACCCTATAAACCCTATAAACCCTATAAACCCTATAAACCCTATAAACCCTAAACTGAAACCCTAAACCCTAAACCCTAAACCCTAAACCCTAAACCCTAAACCCTAAACCCTAAACCCTAAACCCTAAACCCTAAACCCTAAACCCTAAACCCTAAACCCTAAAAACCCTAAACCCGAAACCCTATACCCTATAAACCCTAAACCCTATAAACCCTAAGGGGGGGTCGGAAACCTGAAGCAGCAAGCCGGACGGGCTGTTTGTGTGAAGAAACCATAAGAACCCAACCTCCCCCCCTCCCAGATACCAAACACCTTCGAGGACTTGACTGGGGGGCGTTTAACATTAGGGGGGAACGATCATATAGGGATATATGTATGCATATTTATATATATATATATATGGGGGTTTAAAGGGTTTATAGTGGGTTACATAGGGTTTGTAGGGCTTCTACATTTAGTGTTTCTGGTGTTGGCACTGTTGTGTGAACATTTTCGCCGCCCCACGGCAAGACTTGTCATCGTCTTGTGGCCGGTCGCATAAGCGACTTGAACACAAAATATGTGAAGTACGGCGGGTCGTAAACTTGCCGTCCCTCACCCCCAGGGTTGACATTGCGGTTTCCAGCAGTGTCCCGAAACTCAGATATCAGAACAGCTTCCATCAGAGAGGCCTCGTCCCAAGTAGAACCAGCAAACAGAACATACATGCCCTGAAACCGGTCTGCGCTGTGGTAGTAACCCGGGGATGGAGAGGCAACGGAGGGCTTCTTGTAGAAGCGAAACAGTGGATTGCCACTCAACCCAATCTTATGAACAGTGGGCCCCGTGTCCAAGACCCCACGAACTACACTCTTGGCCCATTGCAGAGCTTTGCCCGCGTTCGCCAGAGGTGGCGGCAATCGAAGCTTGACTCGCAGATCAGCAGCAAGGCCTTCCCGGAGCAGGTAGGCTAGTCGAGGAAGGGCTCGGACTGGAGCTTTGAAGAGCTGAATGTGCTGGCTGCCTGAGAGTGTTGCGGCTCGATTTCGAAAGATTAACTGGGTCTTGCGTTGGCATGAGTCGATGCAGCTGTCTACAATTTCTCAATCCTGAAGCCTCAACCCATCAAGCCCTGGCACGAGAAACCCTACTATAGACACCCCAAATTAAGCCCTATATATATACGTAACAAAAAATAAAAAAGCCCTACAAACTCTATGAACCCTGTATACAAGCGAACCCTCCAAAAGCCTCTAAGCCCTATAAACTCTATAAACCCTCCCTCAGGAACCTATGAACACCTTTGCGTCCGCGCAACAGATAATTTCGCATTCCTCTTGTTGAGTATCAGTGGCTTCCACATCAAAGAGGTCGTCACCGGCTCCTGAGCGTTTTAGGATTTATAGGGTTATCTAGGGTTTATAGGGTTTATATAGGGTTTATATAGGGTTTGTCACAAACTAGGGGCGAACATAATGCCTGTTGTCGATCCCCCTACACCGACTACTCTGCCTGTCCTACTGGTTATTTAAAATCGATCAAAACCATATAGAAATCATCACATAAGTTGTGGCCCTGTGTCCTTCAGCTGATAGCAGCATCGGCTCACATGGCGAGCAATGCCTACGAGTGCCATCCTGGCTAAATCCAAGAAGTTCCTCTAGCCAGGCCTCAGCCTCTCCCATTCCCAGTTTTTTTTTTCAAAAATGAAGGAAGCTTGAGGCAGCAGCAAGATATGAAGAAGCACGCTTGATTAAAGGACCCATTCACGCAGCCACAAACTCCCTATGAGGCTGGCACTCCAGATCCAACAGCATTTGCCAGGAACTTGGCTGTGTGTCCGGGTTCTTTGACTGGACCTGGCAGACATGATTGAGAGATCGAGGGGTTGCTTTGTGCGGTCCCTAAACCCTAAACCCTAAACCCTATAAACCCTATAAACCCTCTAAACCTTATAACACTACAAACCCTTTAAACCCTGCAAACCTTAGGACCTAGGAACCCTATAAACCCTATGAACCCTAGGAACCCTAAGCCCTGTAAACCCTATCAACCCTAGAAACCCAAAAACCCTATAAACCCTATAAACCCAAAACCGAAACCGTCTAATTAAGGGGGATTGGACTCTTTGGGTCTGCCCGGTGTAGAAGAGGAACAAGTGTCAAACCTGCATTCAATTTTGCACCCCGGAGCAGTGTAGCGTCGATAAAGCAGCTAGGAAACACTTTGCTGGTAAGCCAGCATCAAAGATTAACTTCCTGTTCGCACGCAGCACTCCCGAGTCTACTTGAGACGCAGGTTGCTAGCCACATGACAATGCACAGGACTACCCAGGTTAAGTCACAAAAGGTGACATGTACCCCGTTCGGCTTCCATCTACTCCTCGTCCTTCTTCACCTTGGGCTTGCGAAGGGTTGGCCTCGGCAGGAAGGGGTTTAGGGTTTAGGGCTAGGGTTTAGGGTTTATAGGGTTTAGGGTCTATAGGGCCTAGGGTTTAGGGTTTAGGGTTTAGGGTTTGGGGTTTGGGGCTTGGGTTTAGGGCTTGGGGCTTAGGGTTTAGGTCTTCCGGGCTTAGGTCTCGAACATGCCACAGCTGCACGCAGAGCACAACTTCGGAAGTGTGAATTGCATGTTTTCTTGTCAGACATGCCGAGGAAGCGGCCGGGTGCTGCGCTCCAGCCCGGTCCACATCTCGCACCTTGGTTGTTGAATTTCAAGTTTCTGTACTTTCAATAACATTGAAAGGGTCGGTTGACACATGTTGGACAGTGATAGGCTCAACTTTAAGATCCCGGCAGCTTCTTGCTGTCGGTCAGCATATCCAGAATTTGGTTCTTGTGCCTCAGATAATTTCATGTCTTTTCACATCCAGAACCCTATGTTGATTCAACGGGGCTCGGATTCTTTGTGTGTCAAGCCACTTGGGGTCCTCAAGACTCATGCGCTTCATAGCGATCTGGGCAGAGGCATCAACCATTCTCTCATACGTGCACTCAATCCTTTTGACAAGGTCCTCCAGCTTCACGATCTGCCTAAGCAGCACCAGTGCGAGATCAGTTTGTCCTATTTCTGTAGATTGTGGTTTACGCTTTATCTTAGGGGAACAGTTCAGCCCTAGGCTCTGCTTAGCTTGGGCGGTCTTCTCCGGGGCAACACCTCTGAGCTTCTCCAGCAGGGTCGAAATCTTTTCCTGCACCACGAGCAGCTCCCCCTTGTGGATCTCCAGCTTGTCGGCCTTTGCAAGATAGGAAAATCTGTAATTTAGGGTTGTACAGGGTTTATGGGGTTTAGGGGTTATAGTTATATAGGGTTTACATGTAGGGTTTACATGGGTTTATATAGGGTTTAAGGGTTTATGTCTACGGTTTGTAGGTTTATACTCATAGTGTTTATATATCATATTAATTATACACAAGAGGGCTTCTGTGTAGGACCTATAGGGCCTTATAGGATTTATATACAGAGTAGGATGGATCACTACAGTAACAGCGTGTGGGCTTCATGAACATCCCGAACCCACACTGGACCCACAATGGCCTCAGTCTTTGGCGCCTCGACTTCGGCTGCAGTCTGGAGGCCCAGATTTGCTGGCGTCACGACCGGTGCTTTGTCCGTAGTGAGCCCAAAGTCACCTGAACCCGTAGCCTCGGCAGTCTCCTCGCAAAGCTCGCTCTGCCTCAACCGCTTGGTGCCCTTCACACGAAGTCGACACCAATAGTACTTCAACGACTTGTCAACCAAGTCTGTCCTTAAGTCTGTATCAGACAAGTCAAAGCCAAAGCCGTTTTCTTCTTCCCTATAAACCCTAGAAACCCTAGAAAAGCCATAACCCCCTACAAATATATACCCTATAAACATATGTACACACCCTATGAACCCTAAAAGCCCTAAACCCTATATAAACCCCTACAAATTATATACCCTATAAGCCCTAAACCCTATATCAACCCTATAAACCCTTACACCCTATAAACTCTAGAAACCCTAAAAGGCAATTGTTTGCACACATAACCGAAGGGGCAAGATCAAGTCATCACCGTTGGCCGCATCATTGCACCACGCCATAGTCTGGTCGGCTCGCTGCCTCAACAGCTTGAGCTTCTAGTCTATACTTGTTTGTGATGTACAACCACAAGACGAAATGCCAGACAAAGACCCTTTGCTTGGCTAGGGAAAACTTACAAAGTGATGACATCCATTCAACAGCCCTGGGAACAGAAGTAATGCGACCTGCGAACTGGGAGTATCCAAGATCTCTCTTCATCTCAGTCAACGAGTAGTACCCCCCTTCCTCCTCCAGGAGGTTGGACTTCTCGGTTTGCTTCTTCAGCATGACACGGCGCACAAACTGTTCCTGCAGGTAGCGAGAGGAACTTGTCTAACTCTACACAACCCTGTTGTAAGGACATTGTAAGCAACTAGTTATTTGACTCTACACTCCGTATCCTTGTTACCGTTCGCCCTGATGAACTGTGCCATCAGATTGTCCCTGACTGTGCCCTTCTGAAGGTACATTTGGTGGATCTCTTCCGGGACATCCAGGCGCCCACTTGTTTGCTTCCTCTCGCACGCCCGACCAAATCTTCCACGCCAGTTATTGAACTCCTGAAGAGTCAAGTGGAGGTCCGCCACATCCACGTGGGTGCGGGGTTGCTTTTTGGCCTCTCAATCATTTAAGACACGGAAATAGGTGCCCCCCAACAAATAGGCCTGCTAAAAAATCATTTCCTTGCCCTAAGCAATCCTGCATGGCCAGTGTGTGCCTTCGTGGACAGGTCTGCCTCGCTGCTTTCCGGAATGTCCAACTGGTGCCGTGGCAAGGACGGCGGGGTCGTGAGTGTGCTTGCAGATCTGGTAGAGGACGGGGGCGTCTGACCAGGATTGTAAGTTCAGCCCCTTTGCTTTCTTAAAGGCTATATGGGTTTAGGGTTTATAACGGTTTATAGGGTTTATAGGGTGTTGAGGGTTTAGGGTGGTTTGTAGGGTTTATAGGGTTTAGTTTTTTTTGGCTTTAGGGTTCTACAAAACGGCGCCTGGGTTGCACCATTCTCGGAAGAGGTTGAGGCTTGGATGCGCTTGGAAGGAGGCGGGGATGCAGGTTGCGTTTCTGCTACCTGAAGCATGAAAGCAGCCAGGGCCACGTCAGTGATCTCACCCAGGCCATCACCACCAGCCTCAGATCTAAACCCTATAACCCTAAACCCTATAAACCCTATATATGAACCCTATATGAACCCGGCAAGCCCTAAACCCTTTCAACCCTTCGAACCCTTTCAGCCCTTTCAGCCCTTTCAACACTTTCAACACTTTCAACCCTTTCAACCCTTTCAACCCTTTCAACCCTTTCACCCCTTTCAACCCTTTCAACCCTTTCAGCCCTTTCAACCCTTCAGCCCTTTCAGCCTGTTCAGCCCTTTCAGCCCGTTCAGCCCTTTCAGCCCTTTCAACCCTTTCAACCCTAAACCACCCTAAACCACCCTAAACCCTATAAACCATATGGCAAAGCGCATGAGCTGTAGGTAGCTAGATACAATACGAATAAGGCGAGGCCTCCAAGTAACCGAGGCAGTCTCAAGCACATCAGGGCTTGGAGAATCAAGAAGCATGTAGGCATCACTCTGGATCACTGCTTCGTGCGTGTCTTCTTCTTCATCACTACAAGCACCATAAAGATCACATGAACCCCCCGCGAGAAGAGCAAAAGTCTCCTCCTTGGGTGCCACCGTGGCCTCCGCTTTGGTCACCGATTCCTTCGCAACCATCTCCTGACCAGGGGGGTTTAGGGTTTATAGGGTTTATAGGGTTTCGGGTTTATAGGGTTTAGGGTTTATAGGGTTTAGGGTTTATAATAGGGTTTAGGGTCTATAATAGGGTTTAGGGTTTATAGGGTTTAGGGTTTAGGGTTTATAGGGTTTAGGGTATAGGGTTTAGGGTTTAGGGTTTATAGGGTTTATAGGGTTTAGGGTTTATAGGGTTTAGGGCAGGGTGGAAGGTTGAGGGTTTATAGACCCTAAAAACCCTCATAAACCCTAAACCCTATAACCCTAAACCCTAAATCCAAAACATAGGATTTATAGGGTTTATAGGGTTTATGTAGGGTAAACGAAGCTGCTCGTAGCAATCCTGCAAGAAAGCTTGAAGTGAAGCTGCATCTTCTGGAATGGCTTCCATCAGTTGAGTACCATCCAAAGTTTTCAACGCCGACAGAAGGGAGCTGCAAGACAGCGTTCGGGATTCAAGACGCTCAGGTCGATGATGGCCGGACATTACGAAATGGCTTTCTAAACCAAAACACAACAACACCCCTCACCAACAGTCTTGAACATGGAAGCATTACGAAAGGACAGCAGAACAGAAAGGGGAGAGCACAGGCCATACATTTTGTATGGTTTTTTTTGGGCGTTGCATGGGTTTTGTGTGGGTTTTTTTGGGCGCTTGTTTCTAAGCGTCGTTTTTTTTTTGTGCGTTCCTTTTTTTTTTTGGGCGTAGCGTGGCTGTTTTTGGGCGGGAGTCGTTCATTTTTGGGCGTTGCACGGGTGTTTCTGGGCGTTGTGCTTTTTTTGGCGCGAGGAAACCCAGTTAAACAAAGGAAAACGTCAGAAAAGTCCTATTTCGGGGGTTGGAGGAGGAACCCCT